TATAACACATGTGTGGGGTCCTAGACCTGGTATAGCACATGTGTGGGGTTCTAGACCTGGTATAGCACATGTGTGGGGTCCTACACCTGGTATAGCACATGTGTGGGGTCCTACACCTGGTATAGCACATGTGTGGGGTTCTAGACCTGGTATAGCACATGTGTGAGGTCCTACACCTGGTATAGCACATGTGTGGGGTCCTACACCTGGTATAACACATGTGTGGGGTCCTAGACCTGATATAGCACATGTGTGAGGTCCTACACCTGGTATAGCACATGTGTGGGGTCCTACACCTGGTATAACACATGTGTGGGGTCCTAGACCTGATATAGCACATGTGTGGGGTTCTAGACCTGGTATAGCACATGTGTGGGGTTCTAGACCTGGTATAGCACATGTGTGGGGTCCTACACCTGGTATAGCACATGTGTGGGGTCCTACACCTGGTATAGCACATGTGTGGGGTCCTACACCTGGTATAACACATGTGTGGGGTCCTAGACCTGGTATAGCACATGTGTGGGGTTCTAGACCTGGTATAGCACATGTGTGGGGTCCTACACCTGGTATAGCACATGTGTGGGGTCCTACACCTGGTATAACACATGTGTGGGGTCCTAGACCTGATATAGCACATGTGTTGGGTTCTAGACCTGGTATAGCACATGTGTGGGGTTCTAGACCTGGTATAGCACATGTGTGGGGTCCTACACCTGGTATAGCACATGTGTGGGGTCCTACACCTGGTATAACACATGTGTGGGGTCCTACACCTGGTATAGCACATGTGTGAGGTTCTAGACCTGGTATAGCACATGTGTGGCTTTCTAGACCTGGTATAGCACATGTGTGGGGTCCTACACCTGGTATAGCACATGTGTGGGGTCCTACACCTGGTATAACAGATGTGTGGGGTCCTAGACCTGGTATAGCACACGTGTTGGGTCCTACACCTGGTATAGCACATGTGTGGGGTCCTACACCTGATATAGCACATGTGTGGGGTCCTACACCTGGTATAGCACATGCGTGGGGTCCTACACCTGACATAGCACATGTGTGGGGTCCTACACCTAATATAGCACATGTGTGGGGGTCCTACACCTGGTATAGCACATGTGTGGGGTCCTAGACCTGGTGTAGCACATGTGTGGGGTCCTACACCTGGTATAACACATGTGTGGGGTCCTAGACCTTGTATAGCACATGTGTGGGGTCCTAGCCCTTGTATAGCACATGTGTGGGGTCCTAGACCTTGTATAGCACATGTGTGGGGTCCTACACCTGGTATGGCACATGTGTGGGGTCCTACACCTGTTATGGCACATGTGTGGGGTCCTACACCTGTTATAGCACATGTGTGGGGTCCTACACCTGTTATGGCACATGTGTGGGGTCCTACACCTGGTATAGCACATGTATTGAGTCCGCCCAATTACCGAAAGCATCCTTGCATAAGTGATAGTTTACCTGAGAGCCACTAACAGTAGTGGCCTCGACGAGGACAGGAAGCCGGCGGTTTGTCGAAGGTTCCCTCATTTGGTGTGATGATCTTGTCCAGCTGTACTTTATTGTTACCAGAGTTTTGGGATTTACGGCTTCGGCGGGTAGGCTGTTCCATGGGTTATTTTTCTTTTTGGGGTGGGGGTGGGGGAGGGGGGCGGAATTGGGCAGGGATATTCCTGAACCAATGACTGCCCTACTAACGGAGAATCCTATGGGTGAAAAAGCCTCTCCTGTTCTCAATCTTCCATTGTGGCTTGTTGAGCTTGAACCCGTTGCTCCTTGTTTGTGTTACATCTGAACTTTCCAAGAAATTGTCCGGATCGACATATCTTGAGGTTATCTTGAGATGATTTCGGGGCTTTAGTGTCCCCGCGGCCCGGTCCTCGACCAGGCCTCCACCCCCAGGAAGCAGCCTGTGACAGCTGACTAGCTCCCAGGTAACTATTTACTGCTAGGTAACAGGGGCATTCAGGGTGAAAGAAACTTTGCCCATTTGTTTCTGCCTCGTGCGGGAATCGAACCCGCGCCACAGAATTACGAGTCCTGCGCGCTATCCACCAGGCTACGAGGCCCTCTCGACATCGCTCGACATGCTCGACAAGCTCTCGACATCGTCCAAATTGTTCACTATTTTAAAGGTTTCGATGAGATCCGCCCTGTCATGTAGTGTTGTTAGACCTGTGGCCCTCAACCGTTCCTGATACGAGAGGTGACTTAGCTCTGGAATTATTTTTGTTGCTCGGTGTTGCACCTTCTCCAGCGCAGCCTCGACGCGACGCTTGGCTCCTCATGCTTCGTGTGCAGGTTGTAGTGTTAAGTGCAAACATTTTCAGTGTCACTCTTATTTTGTGTTAACGTAAGATGTATATATATATATATATATATATATTTGTTAAAGGGTGTTGAACGGTCTCGGGGCTCTGATGTTGATAGCGTTCTCCCTCAGAGTACAATCGTTTGAAGCTAGTTATACAATTGTTCATGTTACATGCACATGTGCATCTATATCACGAAGTTACATGCACATGTGCATCTATATCACGATGTTACATGCACATGTGCATCTATATCACGATGTTACATACACATGTGCATCTATATCACGATGTTACACACACATGTGCATCTATATCACGATGTTACACACACATGTGCATCTATATCACGATGTTACATACACATGTGCATCTATATCACGATGCACGCATCATCGACGTGTTCGACTCGGGCCATGATACAATATAATCAACACATGGAACACCTTAAACACGCTGCTGGCCCTTGTCCCCTCAAGCACTTCCCTGAACACCAATGGTTCAGGTTATTAGCCCAGATACTTGAAGGCCAAGTGACGGTAATCGAAGAGCAGTTGACCCTGATAACGAGCCTGCAACTCGAAGCTATAGCCAAACTTAAGGAAAATTAAGACCTGTCTTCCATAGTCGGCCTCCTTGAACAGGAAGTAAACTCTCTCAGGGACACAGTTACACAATTACAACCCGGAGAAACCATTAGAAAACTGTAGGAAGTGTTGGAAAAGTTTGAGAATCATTTCAACACCTTCCAGCAGCAACACATTGTTACTTAAGGCGAATTTGACCAACAAAAGGTCCTTGAATCTGTCATTATCTCCTCACGTAATTTCCCCCAAGAAACTGGCGGAGAGGACTGTGCTACCATCGTGATCCGGGAATTGCGTGATAAGATGAAGTATGAAATCCAAGCAAGTGACATCAAAGCAGCATATAGAGTGGGTACCAAATCACCTCGAGTAAATAACAGAATTTGTATGAAACTAGACAGCTGTTCACGCAAATCAGACCTTACTAGAGTTACAGTGTCTGTTAAAACTCTGTTTATATGAATCAATGTTTGACCAGAAACAGACAATTTTTTTTCTTTAAACTGCGTCAAGTCCGTAAAAAATCCAATGGGACAATTAAACATTGTTTTGAAAGACATAAATTTTGAAAAACATAAATTAATAATTGAGTCGCAACATGGTTTTATAAATGGCCGTTCATGTTTAACAAATTTGTTATCTTTTTATTCTAGCATTGTTGAGGCAGTTGATAGTGGTAAGGATTGCGATGTTGTATACCTTGACTTTAGCAAAGCTTTTGATACAGTGCCACATGAAAGACTGATTAAAAAAATAGAGTCTCATGGTATTGGGGGTGCTATATTAAGCTGGATTAGGGCATGGCTATACCAAAGGAAACAGAGAGTTAGTATAAATGGAATCAAGTCAGAGTGGGAAAATGTTGTAAGTGGAGTGCCTCAAGGCTCTGTCCTGGGACCTCTGTTGTTTATAATATATATAAATGATTTAGATTCAGGTTTGAGTAGCAACATTTGCAAATTTGCCGATGATACGAAAATCGGTAGGGAAATTAATTCGGAGGAGGACTCACTATCACTTCAAGTTGATCTAGATAGGGTTTTGAAATGGTCAAAGGATTGGCAGATGCAGTTTAATGCTGATAAATGTAAAGTTCTGAGGTTAGGTAATGATGATAGAGTTACAAGATACGAGCTAGATGGTGTTGTGATTGCGAAGTCGGATTGCGAAAGGGATCTGGGAGTTATGATTAGTAAGAATTTAAAACAAAAGGATCAATGCATAAATGTTCGTAATAAGGCAAATCGGACACTTGGATTTATTAATCGCAGCGTTAGTAACAAGACACCTGGTGTGGTTCTCAAGCTATATCTTGCTCTAGTTAGGCCCCATTTAGATTATGCAGTTCAGTTTTGGTCGCCATATTATAGAATGGATATAAATTCACTTGAACGTGTCCAGCGTAGGATGACTAAGTTAATTCCCCAAATTAGAAATCTTTCATATGAAGAAAGATTAACAAAGCTTAAGTTGCATTCACTGGAAAGGCGAAGAGTTAGGGGTGACATGATAGAGGTTTACAAGTGGATGAATGGACATAACCGGGGGGATATTAATAGGGTAGGGTATTAAAAGTATCAACACAGGACAGAACACGAAACAATGGATATAAATTGGATAAGTTTAGATTTAGGAAAGACTTGGGTAAATACTGGTTCAGTAACAGGGTTGTTGATTTGTGGAACCAATTGCCGCGTAACATTGTGGAGGTGGGGTCCCTCGATTGTTTCAAGCACGGGTTGGACAAGTATATGAGTGGGATTGGGTGGTTATAGAATAGGAGCTGCCTCGTATGGGCCAATAGGCCTTCTGCAGTTACCTTTGTTCTTATGTTCTTAAATTGGATAAGTTTAGATTTAGGAAAGACTTGGGTAAATACTGGTTCAGTAACAGGGTTGTTGATTTGTGGAACCAATTGCCGCGTAACATTGTGGAGGTGGGGTCCCTCGATTGTTTCAAGCACGGGTTGGACAAGTATATGAGTGGGATTGGGTGGTTATAGAATAGGAGCTGCCTCGTATGGGCCAATAGGCCTTCTGCAGTTACCTTTGTTCTTATGTTCTTATGTTCTTAAAGAGGTGGTAAAATACTAGCTAAGAAGTCTGACACTAGGAAAACCTATGAAGTAACCACTGAGGCGCACCTCAGATCTTTCCTCGTGCACCTCAGATCTTTCCTCATGCACCTCAGATCTATCCTTGTGCACCTCAGATCTTTCCTCATGCACCTCAGATCTATCCTCGTGCACCTCAGATCTTTCCTCGTGCACCTCAGATCTTTCCTCATGCACCTCAGATCTTTCCTCATGCACCTCAGATCTTTCCTCGTGCACCTCAGATCTTTCCTCGTGCACCTCAGATCTATCCTCATGCACCTCAGATCTTTCCTCATGCACCTCAGATCTTTCCTCGTGCACCTCAGATCTTTCCTCGTGCACCTCAGATCTTTCCTCGTGCACCTCAGATCTTTCCTCATGCACCTCAGATCTTTCCTCGTGCACCTCAGATCTTTCCTCGTGCACCTCAGATCTTTCCTCATGCACCTCAGATCTTTCCTCATGCACCTCAGATCTTTCCTCGTGCACCTCAGATCTTTCCTCGTGCACCTCAGATCTTTCCTCGTGCACCTCAGATCTTTCCTCATGCACCTCAGATCTTTCCTCGTGCACCTCAGATCTTTCCTCATGCACCTCAGATCTTTCCTCATGCACCTCAGATCTTTCCTCATGCACCTCAGATCTATCCTCGTGCACCTCAGATCTTTCCTCATGCACCTCAGATCTATCCTCGTGCACCTCAGATCTATCCTCATACACCTCAGATCTTTCCTCATGCACCTCAGATCTATCCTCGTGCACCTCAGATCTTTCCTCATGCACCTCAGATCTATCCTTGTGCACCTCAGATCTTTCCTCATGCACCTCAGATCTATCCTCGTGCACCTCAGATCTTTCCTCATGCACCTCAGATCTATCCTCATGCACCTCAGATCTTTCCTCATGCACCTCAGATCTATCCTCGTGCACCTCAGATCTATCCTCATACACCTCAGATCTTTCCTCATGCACCTCAGATCTTTCCTCATGCACCTCAGATCTATCCTCGTGCACCTCAGATCTTTCCTCATGCACCTCAGATCTATCCTCATACACCTCAGGATCTTTCCTCATGCACCTCAGATCTTTCCTCATGCACCTCAGATCTATCCTCATGCACCTCAGATCTATCCTCATGCACCTCAGATCTATCCTCATGCACCTCAGATCTATCCTCATGCACCTCAGATCTATCCTCATGCACCTCAGATCTATCCTCATGCACCTCAGATCTTTCCTCATGCACCTCAGATCTATCCTCATGCACCTCAGATCTTTCCTCATGCACCTCAGATCTTTCCTCATGCACCTCAGATCTATCCTCATGCACCTCAGATCTATCCTCATGCACCTCAGATCTTTCCTCATGCACCTCAGATCTATCCTCATGCACCTCAGATCTATCCTCATGCACCTCAGATCTTTCCTCATGCACCTCAGATCTTTCCTCGTGCACCTCAGATCTATCCTCGTGCACCTCAGATCTTTCCTCATGCACCTCAGATCTTTCCTCGTGCACCTCAGATCTATCCTCGTGCACCTTAGATCTTTCCTCGTGCACCTCAGATCTTTCCTCATGCACCTCAGATCTTTCCTCATGCACCTCAGATCTATCCTCATGCACCTCAGATCTTTCCTCGTGCACCTCAGATCTTTCCTCGTGCACCTCAGATCTTTCCTCGTGCACCTCAGATCTTTCCTCGTGCACCTCAGATCTTTCCTCATGCACCTCAGATCTTTCCTCATGCACCTCAGATCTATCCTCGTGCACCTCAGATCTTTCCTCATGCACCTCAGATCTATCCTCATACACCTCAGGATCTTTCCTCATGCACCTCAGATCTTTCCTCATGCACCTCAGATCTATCCTCATGCACCTCAGATCTATCCTCATGCACCTCAGATCTATCCTCATGCACCTCAGATCTATCCTCATGCACCTCGGATCTATCCTCATGCACCTCAGATCTTTCCTCATGCACCTCAGATCTATCCTCATGCACCTCAGATCTTTCCTCATGCACCTCAGATCTTTCCTCATGCACCTCAGATCTATCCTCATGCACCTCAGATCTATCCTCATGCACCTCAGATCTTTCCTCATGCACCTCAGATCTATCCTCATGCACCTCAGATCTATCCTCATGCACCTCAGATCTTTCCTCATGCACCTCAGATCTTTCCTCGTGCACCTCAGATCTATCCTCGTGCACCTCAGATCTTTCCTCATGCACCTCAGATCTTTCCTCGTGCACCTCAGATCTATCCTCGTGCACCTAAGATCTTTCCTCGTGCACCTCAGATCTTTCCTCATGCACCTCAGATCTTTCCTCATGCACCTCAGATCTATCCTCATGCACCTCAGATCTTTCCTCGTGCACCTCAGATCTTTCCTCGTGCACCTCAGATCTTTCCTCGTGCACCTCAGATCTTTCCTCGTGCACCTCAGATCTTTCCTCATGCACCTCAGATCTTTCCTCATGCACCTCAGATCTTTCCTCATGCACCTCAGATCTATCCTCATGCACCTCAGATCTATCCTCGTGCACCTCAGATCTTTCCTCATGCACCTCAGATCTATCCTCGTGCACCTCAGATCTTTCCTCATGCACCTCAGATCTATCCTCATGCACCTCAGATCTATCCTCGTGCACCTCAGATCTTTCCTCATGCACCTCAGATCTATCCTCGTGCACCTCAGATCTATCCTCATGCACCTCAGATCTATCCTCACTGACTGTGGGTTATATATCAGCAGATGCCAAGTGAACGCCATCCCTGGGGTCTCCCCTAACACACAACCTCTCAGCCCCAGAGTGTAACTCATAGTGTCATCTAACAACCAAAGTCTACTATACTTCTGTCTTTCCATTCAAAACGTTTTTAATTTTAATTTTAGTTTCTTCTTTATTCCCACTATTTGATATTGTTCGTCTCATCATTTGTATTGTATCACTGTACTGCTATTTGCTCTTACCTTTATTCCAGTTGCAGAATTGTTATTTTTAGTATTACTTATTATCAATCTAAATTATACTGCAATTTGTAAAAATTATGGCAAAGTAGATTTGCACCAGATTTAGTATTTTACTGTTTTTTAATCGCTTATTTTATTGTATCTTGACTCCACAGCATCTACATGATATTTGATACTGACCCTGAACTAAATCTGCTGTCACAAATCTACAATAGCCAGCATATTGATCATCACTACTGACCATCACTATTGACCATCACTACTGACCATCACTATTGATCATCACTACTGACCATCACTTGACCATCACTACTGACCATCACTACTGACCATCACTATTGATCATCACTACTGACCATCACTTGACCATCACTACTGACCATCACTACTGACCATCACTATTGATCATCACTACTGACCATCACTTGACCATCACTACTCACCATCACTACTGACCATCACTATTGACCATCACTACTGACCATCACTACTGACCATCACTACTGACCATCACTATTGACCATCACTACTGACCATCACTACTGACCATCACTTGACCATCACTATTGACCATCACTACTGACCATCACTTGACCATCACTACTGACCATCACTACTGACCATCACTATTGACCATCACTACTGACCATCACTATTGATCATCACTACTGACCATCACTTGACCATCACTACTGACCATCACTATTGATCATCACTACTGACCATCACTATTGATCATCACTACTGACCATCACTATTGATCATCACTACTGACCATCACTATTGACCATCACTACTGACCATCACTACTGACCATCACTATTGACCATCACTACTGACCATCACTACTGACCATCACTATTGATCATCACTACTGACCATCACTATTGATCATCACTACTGACCATCACTATTGATCATCACTACTGACCATCACTATTGACCATCACTACTGACCATCACTATTGACCATCACTATTGACCATCACTACTGACCATCACTACTGACCATCACTACTGACCATCACTTGACCATCACTACTGACCATCACTATTGACCATCACTACTGACCATCACTATTGATCATCACTACTGACCATCACTTGACCATCACTACTGACCATCACTATTGACCATCACTATTGATCATCACTACTGACCATCACTACTGACCATCACTATTGATCATCACTACTGACCATCACTACTGACCATCACTATTGACCATCACTACTGACCATCACTATTGATCATCACTATTGACCATCACTACTGACCATCACTACTGACCATCACTACTGACCATCACTTGACCATCACTATTGACCATCACTACTGACCATCACTTGACCATCACTACTGACCATCACTACTGACCATCACTATTGACCATCACTACTGACCATCACTATTGATCATCACTACTGACCATCACTACTGACCATCACTACTGACCATCACTATTGACCATCACTACTGACCATCACTACTGACCATCACTACTGACCATCACTATTGACCATCACTACTGACCATCACTATTGACCATCACTATTGACCATCACTACTGACCATCACTACTGACCATCACTACTGACCATCACTATTGACCATCACTACTGACCATCACTACTGACCATCACTACTGACCATCACTACTGACCATCACTACTGACCATCACTACTGACCATCACTACTGACCATCACTACTGACCATCACTACTGACCATCACTACTGACCATCACTACTGACCATCACTACTGACCATCACTATTGACCATCACTACTGACCATCACTATTGACCATCACTATTGATCATCACTATTGACCATCACTACTGACCATCACTATTGATCATCACTATTGACCATCACTACTGACCATCACTATTGACCATCACTATTGACCATCACTACTGACCATCACTATTGACCATCACTATTGACCATCACTACTGACCATCACTATTGATCATCACTACTGACCATCACTATTGATCATCACTACTGACCATCACTACTGACCATCACTATTGACCATCACTACTGACCATCACTATTGACCATCACTATTGACCATCACTACTGACCATCACTATTGATCATCACTACTGACCATCACTATTGATCATCACTACTGACCATCACTACTGACCATCACTATTGATCATCACTACTGACCATCACTATTGATCATCACTACTGACCATCACTACTGACCATCACTATTGATCATCACTACTGACCATCACTACTGACCATCACTATTGATCATCACTACTGACCATCACTATTGATCATCACTACTGACCATCACTATTGACCATCACTATTGACCATCACTACTGACCATCACTATTGATCATCACTACTGACCATCACTATTGATCATCACTACTGACCATCACTACTGACCATCACTATTGACCATCACTACTGACCATCACTATTGATCATCACTATTGACCATCACTACTGACCATCACTATTGATCATCACTACTGACCATCACTATTGACCATCACTATTGATCATCACTACTGACCATCACTATTGACCATCACTACTGACCATCACTATTGATCATCACTACTGACCATCACTACTGACCATCACTATTGATCATCACTACTGACCATCACTATTGATCATCACTACTGACCATCACTATTGATCATCACTATTGACCATCACTACTGACCATCACTATTGATCATCACTACTGACCATCACTATTGACCATCACTATTGATCATCACTACTGACCATCACTATTGACCATCACTACTGACCATCACTATTGATCATCACTACTGACCATCACTATTGATCATCACTACTGCAGGAATTATCCAACAAACATTGCAAAAAACAAACTCCAAAACTGTATTGATGTATTAACACTGTATTGATGTATTTTCTACATATAACAGTCCCTGTGGCGCAGTGGTAACACATTTGCCCCGCGCTTCGCGAACGATTTGGCCGGGGTTCGTATCCTGGCCGGGGAGGATTGACTAGGCGCCAATCCTTAACTATAGCCTCTGTTCATCCAGTAGTTAATGGGTACCTGGTTGTTAAACGATTTGGCGGGTCGGACTCCGGGAAAAATTAAGATTAAGGACCTGCCAGTAACAATAAGTGTGATAGTGACTTTACAAGAATATAAAAACTCTTGTGTGTTAAAAAACATATCCAACATGAAGGCAGAGTTGGAACATATCCAACATGGAGACAGAGTTGGAACATATCCAACATGGAGGCAGAGTTGGAACATATCCAACATGGAGGCAGAGTTGGAACATATCCAACATGAAGGCAGAGTTGGAACATATCCAACATGGAGACAGAGTTGGAACATATCCAACATGGAGGCAGAGTTGGAACATATCCAACATGGAGACAGAGTTGGAACATATCCAACATGGAGGCAGAGTTGGAACATATCCAACATGGAGGCAGAGTTGGAACATATCCAACATGAAGGCAGAGTTGGAACATATCCAACATGGAGGCAGAGTTGGAACATATCCAACATGGAGGCAGAGTTGGAACATATCCAACATGGAGGCAGAGTTGGAACATATCCAACATGGAGACAGAGTTGGAACATATCCAACATGGAGGCAGAGTTGGAACATATCCAACATGGAGGCAGAGTTGGAACATATCCAACATGAAGGCAGAGTTGGAACATATCCAACATGGAGACAGAGTTGGAACATATCCAACATGGAGACAGAGTTGGAACATATCCAACATGGAGGCAGAGCTGGAACATATCCAACATGGAGACAGAGTTGGAACATATCCAACATGGAGACAGAGTTGGAACATATCCAACATGGAGACAGAGTTGGAACATATCCAACATGGAGGCAGAGCTGGAACATATCCAACATGGAGACAGAGTTGGAACATATCCAACATGGAGGCAGAGTTGGAACATATCCAACATGAAGGCAGAGCTGGAACATATCCAACATGGAGGCAGAGCTGGAACATATCCAACATGGAGACAGAGTTGGAACATATCCAACATGGAGGCAGAGCTGGAACATATCCAACATGGAGGCAGAGCTGGAACATATCCAACATGGAGGCAGAGCTGGAACATATCCAACATGGAGGCAGAGTTGGAACATATCCAACATGGAGGCAGAGCTGGAACATATCCAACATGGAGGCAGAGCTGGAACATATCCAACATGGAGGCAGAGCTGGAACATATCCAACATGGAGGCAGAGTTGGAACATATCCAACATGGAGGCAGAATTGGAACATATCCAACATGGAGGCAGAGTTGGAACATATTCAACATGAAGGCAGAGTTGGAACATATCCAACATGGAGACAGAGTTGGAACATATCCAACATGGAGGCAGAGTTGGAACATATCCAACATGGAGGCAGAGTTGGAACATATCCAACATGGAGGCAGAGTTGGAACATATCCAACATGGAGGCAGAGTTGGAACATATCCAACATGGAGGCAGAGTTGGAACATATCCAACATGAAGGCAGAGTTGGAACATATCCAACATGAAGGCAGAGTTGGAACATATCCAACGTGAAGGCAGAGTTGGAACATATCCAACATGGAGACAGAGTTGGAACATATCCAACATGGAGGCAGAGCTGGAACATATCCAACATGGAGACAGAGTTGGAACATATCCAACATGGAGGCAGAGTTGGAACATATCCAACATGGAGGCAGAGTTGGAACATATCCAACATGGAGGCAGAGTTGGAACATATCCAACATGGAGGCAGAGTTGGAACATATCCAACATGGAGGCAGAGTTGGAACATATCCAACATGAAGGCAGAGTTGGAACATATCCAACATGGAGACAGAGTTGGAACATATCCAACATGGAGGCAGAGCTGGAACATATCCAACATGGAGACAGAGTTGGAACATATCCAACATGGAGGCAGAGCTGGAACATATCCAACATGGAGGCAGAGTTGGAACATATCCAACATGGAGGCAGAGCTGGAACATATCCAACATGGAGACAGAGGTGGAACATATCCAACATGGAGACAGAGTTGGAACATATCCAACATGGAGGCAGAGTTGGAACATATCCAACATGGAGGCAGAGTTGGAACATATCCAACATGGAGGCAGAGTTGGAACAAAGAAAATGCTAGACGAGTCGCCGTAGGAAGGACCCGAGATACAAAGAACGTCTTGAAGGATGATCCCAAGAGGATAAAGACATCTGAG